AGTGAAGTTGATTGGTTCTCAGCTAACTGAGCAGGTTGGAACTGGAAACAAGTTATAGAGATACAGAAGTCTGTGATATTGATCTCCCCAATAGAAGCTACCTGTTTTCTGCTGTAAAAAAAAACTCAGTTTGAGCTTGAAAATAAATAGTTCTCTTTCGTGCAGTTGTTGCTGTGAGCTGCGACTTTCAAGTTGATATATCAGAGGCTTTTTGAAGTGATTCAGTTGCTTTGTACTCCTTATAAGCTTCCAGAAGAAAGATATCTGAACACCAAGGGCCTGGCTAGTTGAAGAACTTTATTGCAAAATCAGAATCCAGAAGCAAAAGCAATTGAACTGACTTTCCAGTTATCTCTACCTACATCAAGAATCTATTTTCATTATCTGTTTCTCTATGGGTGCTTGTAAGGGGGAGTTTATGAACGGATTAGAGTTTTAGTTAGTAGCATTATGTGCCAAAGGTTTATTTGTAACTACAGTCTAATTATATTAAATAATAATTCTTTTTGTATAGAAACTTGGTCCATACTTTCTATCAACTTCGGTCTGAAAGTCAGGTAAATTGGGGTACTGTGCATACCTTAAAAAGCTTTTAACATTAATATGACTCTGGGAGTAGCGGGGCTTGATTCACAACATGCTACCCCAGTGGGTTGAAAGACAGTGGCCATTCCTACTAATACTGTCAAGGACAGATGCATGTGTGGCAGGTTGATTGATAGTGACCAGATCAAGTAGTTGTTTCCTTCATTCATTCACACACCTGTGCCATGCCCTTCAGAAGATGGGCAGCTCAATCAGTAGTGACACCACTGAGCCACTCATGATAATGGATATTACAGTCTCTCACTCAGAGTGTGTGTTGAGCTCTTGTTAGACTTCTTCCAAGTGATATTTAACAGTGAAAAGCACCAATTCATCAGTTAAAGGAGGATGTTAGTTAGCATTAAGCAAGAAGATTTCTTTGTTCATATTTGACATGATGTCACAAGACTTCATATGGTTTAGAGTAAATGTTGAGGATTCCCAGACCTTCTGTCCCAATCGTATACTACTATGCTGCCACCCTGATAGGTATGTCCCACCCAACCTCAGGCATAAGGATGGAGGAGTCTAAACATTGGTTGTATTACAATGTATTACATAATTTGGGGAGAATGACTATGTTAGACTGTTGTTTGAGTTGACCTTAGGGTAGATCTTCTCATTATTGCATAGGCCCCCGGATATCAGTGCGGAGGACTTCGCAAGGTCAACTGGGCCGGGTGTGCCTTTGTCATTTCCATCAACAAAATAGATGATTAGGTGGTCTGCTCAGTTTCATCCTTATTTGACCCATCTGGAGTGGTGTGATATTCTGACTTGGCAAGCCATTTTGAAGGACAGTTAAGGGATACGGTGAGAACGCGGGTAAGTGGATCTGAGTCCACAAAAGGATCAGCCATGATCTTATTGAATGGCGGAGCAGGCTCGAAGGGCCAGACGGCCTACTCCTGCTCCTAGTTCTTATGTTCTTATGTTCTTATAACACAACCACATTGCTGATAGAACTGGAGTCACATGTCAGACCAAGTAAGGACAGTAGATTTCCTCTGCTGAACAGTATTACTGAATTAGATGGATTTTTAATTAGAAAGCCACAGATTCAGGATCGTTAGTAGTGAACTCATCAATTTATTCCAGATTTGTTAATTAATTTACTGTGAATTCCCTCAACTGCAGAGGTGAGATTTGAACTAATCTCATTAACATTTGTTTGGATCTCCAGATTGTTAGTCCAGCAACATTACCACTACACAACCATCCTGAAGTAAATAGATTTATGCCTGCATTAAAATAACAAAGACAGGTCAAGTGACTACGTTAAGCAATTGTCCAATAATACTGCCAACAGTAAACCCTGCATACAATCATCATTTAGTCCACATACAATAAAGTTGCAGAGACTGCAGTGGAAGATATCACACAACTCACTCACCTGGAACTCTGTTCTTAATACCAAATTAACAATTACTTTGCAAATCAGAATTGTTTGGCAATAGAAGATCCCTGGTCTAACATTCTAATAGAGGTTCTTCAAGCTTTTCAGTGCTCCAAGTGGGTACAAGGCATAAATTCATAATAACAAGAATTATTGTTGCAGGTTCCGGGGTTTAGATGTTTCAGTAAGATCAGGGAAGGTGGTAAAAGAGGGGGAGGTGTGGCATTGTTAGTCAAGGACAGTATTACGGTGGCAGAAAGGACATTTGATGACAACTCGTCTACTGAGGTAGTATGGGCTGAGGTTAGAACCAGGAAAGGAGAGGTCACCCTGTTGGGAGTTTTCTATAGGCCTCTGAAAAGTTCCAGAGATGTAGAGGAAAAGATTGCAGAGATGATTCTGGATAGGAGTGAAAGTAACAGGGTAGTTGTTATGGGGGACTTTAACTTTCCAAATATTGACTGGAAACGCTATAGTTCGAGTACTTCAGATGGGTCAGTTTTTGTCCAATGTGTGCAGGAGGGTTTCCTGACACAGTATGTAGATAGGCCAACAAGAGGCGATGCCACATTGGATTTGGTACTGGGTAATGAACCAGGCCAGGTGTTAGATTTGGAGGTAGGAGAGCACTTTGGTGATAGTGACCACAATTCGGTTACGTTTACTTTAGCGATGGAAAGGGATCAGTATATACCGCAGGGCAAGAGTTATAGCTGGGGGAAAGGCAACTATGAGGCGATGAGGCAAGATTTAGGATGCATAGGATGGAGAAGGAAACTGCAGGGGCTGGGCACAATTGAAATGTGGAGCTTGTTCAAGGAACAGCTACTGCGTGTCCTTGAGAAGTATGTACCTGTCAGGCAGGGAGGAAGTGGTCGAGCGAGGGAACCGTGGTTTACTAAAGAAGTTGAATCTCTTGTCAAGAGGAAGAAGGAGGCTTATGTAGAGATGAGGCATGAAGGCTCAGTGAGGGCGCTTGAGAGTTACAAGTTAGCCAGGAAGGACCTAAAGAGAGAGCTAAGAAGAGCCAGGAGGGGACATGAGAAGTCTTTAGCAGGTAGGATCAAGGAAAACCCTAAAGCTTTCTATAGGTATGTCAGGAATAAAAGAATGACTAGAGTAAGATTGGGGCCGGTCAAGGACAGTAGTGGGAAGTTGTGCGTGGAGTCCGAAGAGATAGGAGAGGTGCTAAATGAATATTTTTCGTCAGTATTCACACAGGAAAAAGACAATGTAGTCGAGGAGAATACTGAGATACAGTCTATTAGACTAGACGGGATTGAGGTTCATAAGGAGGAGGTGTTAGCAATTCTGGAAAGTGTGAAAATAGATAAGTCCCCTGGGCCAGATGGGATTTATCCTAGGATTCTCTGGGAAGCTAGAGAGGAGATTGCAGAGCCTTTGGCTTTGATCTTTATGTCGTCATTGTCTTCAGGAATAGTGCCAGAAGACTGGAGACTAGCAAATGTTGTCCCCTTGTTCAAGAAGGGGAGTAGAGACAACCCTGGTAATTATAGACCAGTGAGCCTTACTTCAGTTGTGGGTAAAGTGTTGGAAAGGATTATAAGAGATAGGATTTATAATCATCTAGAAAGGAATAATTTGATTAGGGATAGTCAACACGGTTTTGTGAAGGGTAGGTCGTGCCTCACAAACCTTATTGAGTTCTTCGAGAACGTGACCAAACAGGTGGATGAGGGTAAAGCGGTTGATGTGGTGTATTTGGATTTCAGTAAAGCGTTTGATAAGGTTCCCCATGGTAGGCTATTGCAGAAAATACGGAGGCATGGGATTGAGGGTGATTTAGCGGTTTGGATCAGAAATTGGCTAGCTGTAAGAAGACAGAGGGTGGTGGTTGATGGGAAATGTTCATCCTGGAGTTCAGTTACTAGTGGTGTACCTCAAGGATCTGTTTTGGGGCCACTGCTGTTTGTCATTTTTATAAATGATCTGGATGAGGGCGTAGAAGGATGGGTTAGTAAATTTGCGGATGACACCAAAGTCGGTGGAGTTGTGGATAGTGCGGAAGGATGTTGCAGGTTACAGAGGGACATAGATAAGCTGCAGAGCTGGGCTGAGAGGTGGCAAATGGAGTTTAATGCGGAAAAGTGTGAGGTGATTCACTTTGGAAGGAGTAACAGGAATACAGAGTACTGGGCTAATGGTAAGATTCTTGGTAGTGTGGATGAGCAGAAAGATCTCGGTGTCCATGTGCATAGATCACTGAAAGTTGCCACCCAGGTTGATAGCGTTGTTAAGAAGGCGTACAGTATGTTAGGTTTTATTGGTAGAGGGATTGAGTTTCGGAGCCATGAGGTCATGTTGCAGCTGTACAAAACTCTGGTGCGGCCGCACTTGGAGTATTGCGTACAGTTCTGGTCACTGCATTATAGGAAGGATGTGGAAGCATTGGAAAGGGTGCAGAGGAGATTTACCAGGATGTTGCCTGGTATGGAGGGAAGGTCTTATGAGGAAAGGCTGAGGGTCTTGAGGCTGTTTTCGTTAGAGAGAAGAAGGTTATGAGGTGACTTGATAGAGACATACAAGATGATCAGAGGATTAGATAGGGTGGACAGTGGGAGCCTTTTTCCTCGGATGGTGATGGCTAGCACGAGGGGACATAGCTTTAAATTGAGGGGTGATAGATATAGGACAGATGTCAGAGGTAGGTTCTTTACTCAGAGAGTAGTAAGGGCGTGGAATGCCCTGCCTGCAAAAATAGTAGACTCGCCCACTTTAAGGGCATTTAAATGGTCATTGGATAAACATATGGATGATAATGGAATAGTTTAGGTTAGATGGGCTTCAGATTGGTTTCACAGGTCAGTGCAACATCGAGGGCTGAAGGGCCTGTACTGCGCTGTAATGTTCTATGTTGTATGTTCTATTTCTTGATGTTACGTTAGATTATAGTTGGACTTAAAACAGTGCTCTCTGCATAAGTACTTTCCAGAATTAGCTGCACCCACAATTTTGTTCAAGCTCAGCAAAGGTCTTATTTGTGCATTTCTTTTCATAGTGCCAAATGATTGTTACCATGGTAATGGTTTATCATATAGAGGCCTAGTGAAACAAACTGAACGAGGGAAGGCATGTCTGCACTGGAGCTCAAACTTGCTGCTCAAGGAAGCCGTGGGTACCCATATGGAGAATCCCAACAAATACGGAATTGGTGATCACAATTATTGCAGGTACTGCAGCTCTAGCACATTGATATACTCGGTTAGTTTGTATCCACTGAACTGAGTGACAATGGTGTTTTCATTAAAACTTTAACTTTATCTTCAATCTCTCGAGCCTTTTCCCATTGAAACAAGGGCTCCCAGATCAATTTATAAATTTGGGGTGAGTTCACCATGGATTAGTAACTGAAATGGTGAGATTGTCAGAATGATTCCCTATCAGGTAGAAGAGCGAGATGGAGGTATGTGGGTGCAGAGATGGGCTGATTAGAAAACTCGCCTCAGTTCTCCAACATAGTCTTTAAATGCCCCCTAAATTTCAGTCTCCACCCAATTCCTTGCCACCTCTATACCCACTCTAATTGCCGTTGCCACTTTTTGGCACTCAATGTAACATCTATAGCCACTCCCCCATTATGCATTATTCAATACCAATGGAAAATACTTTACATTCCTTGGGAAGAAGATTAACCTTTCACCTTCTAATAATATCCTCCATATTATTGATTGCGAGGAAAAATGCATTCTGCCATGTGAAAAACCTCGTACTATTTGTGATTGCATTAGATTGTGTCAACAAACCAAGACAACATCAAAGGGGCAATGTATAATGGCAACTTCTTAAAATGGTTATTTATTCCCAGATGAACAACTCAACTGAAATCCATTTGCACCACCAGATGGAAATGGTATTTGGGAGAAAATCTGATTTTCTTCATCCATTCAAAATGGGAACCCAACCTCATTGGGAATGGATGTGTTTTTTGCGCACTATGCATTCTAGAACCCTAGAAAGGCCAGGCGAAAATGAGGCAGAGTCAGAAATGCAAAAGAAAGTCAAATTTCCTCAAAAGAACCCGCAAAGGTTTGGATTTTGCTTTTTCTCTTTCTCAGTGTGGATGTGGATGTCTTTAAGAACAAGATAGTGTACAATCTACAGCTTCAATCCCCCACCAAATTCACCAGCAAGTAAACTTGCTAGAGCAGGACAATTCAAGCACTTAAGTGGTGACTTAGTAGGCTTATTAGCCAATCAGTTCTTGGGACAGTTGTGTCCCACCCACCTGAAGTTGCTGGCTGTTAACCATGGTGAAAAGGAGTGAAACATCAGACATCCAGATTGCTGGCTGAAGAGCATGAGCAATGGGAAAAGTTCTTGGTGTGGAATCACAGGTTCAGGACATAGTGGGGGTGGGGGGGTTGGGGTGTCATAGAAAAGGGGTTTAAAGAGTTTCAGAGGCAAGGGCAGAGGGTGGTTTTCAGTCATCACAATCACGCCATTACAGCAGTCAGGAAGGCTGCCAGTATCCTCTGCTGCTGGGAACAAAGTTAATCATGCCAAAGGCAGTCGCAGTGAACATTAATTGACGACTTAATGATCTTAGTTGGTAGCAGGTTAGGAAAATCAGAGTTTGGATTGAAATACAATCATGGACAAACGTCCTTTCTAATCTGCTGTAAACATGTAGTGGCTGGTTGGCTCGCCGAGCTGGAGGCCAACCAACCACAACATCCACAACCTGAGCTACAACTCTACTCTAAAACCTTAGAGTGCTGTAAACATCTGACCTTGACAGTAAGGCATCCACACTACAGGCTGCTGTCTTACTGACACTTCCATAAAGAATTCATTCTGATTACTCTATTGTCTATTGTGCTCAGAATGGTCAACTATAAGCATTCCCACCCAGAAATTAATTCCTAAAGTACTGGAAAGATGATGGATATATTTCTGTGCTGCCAACCAGCTGGTTAATTTGCCTTTTCCACCACTTCTAGGAAAGGGAGAATCACAGCCTAAGTGTGGCCATTTTTATACAAAAACACATCTCATACATCACACGGCCAGACATGCATTTGGCCCCATGTGTAGGAACAAAACATATTCATTACAACACAATTAATCAGGAATATGAAGTAATCAGATTAGCCATGATCTTATTGAATGTTGGTGCAGGCTCAACGGGCCCAGGGACCTACTTTTGCTCCTAATTCGCATACATTCATATGTTCACAGTTAATTCAGAAAGTAAAATTTACTTATGGCACCCAAATAGGCCTTGCTCATTGTCTTTTTCTGCACTGTGTAAATATAAGAACAACACCAAGAGTGACTCAATGGCGTCTTTCATAACAATTTTGTGAAACTGCATTTACATATGGTCTACAGTTAGTGAGGGACAGGAAGACACACATATATATATATATATATAGAGAGAGAGAGGAAGTAAGTGTTGATGAGCCAGGATGGTTGATATTGCACTCACGATGCCTGTTGTAGACCCCTATCAATTTTCTAGTAAATTTATTACAACACAATATCAGGAGAGTAGTATTTCAAGCTGATATATCATGCTGAGGCCTAGTATCATTGTTGGATCTCGGGCCACTGGCAGGTGATAGTAGAAGTGGGGTTTGTGTGGTGGGAGAAGCAGGGGAGAGGTTAGGAGTGTTGGAAGCAAGCACAGGGAGTGGCTATCTGTATATTTCCCAGTTCAAAATGTGGTGTCCCTTATTCAGGCACTGATTACCCTTGAACTAGGTAGGTTCCCCTTCCACCCCAGTGCATTCCTCGAGCAGCTCTGTACAGGTTTGTACATCATTCTTCCCACACTACTGGATTAATACCAACAGCAATGGTAGAGGTGCTTAACATTGCAATATTAACATAGACTGTAGGAAAATTGGAGCTGGGGGCTGGACCTTACGCCTTTGAGCTCACTCCTCCACTCAATAAGATCATGGCAGAACTGATTAAGACCTCAACTCCATTTAACTGTGTGTACCCCCTAACACTTGACTCCATTGTCTATCAAAAATCTCAGTCTTGGATAAATTAGTGACCCAGCCTCCACTACTTTCTGGGGGAAAGATGCTCCACAATACTTGTCCAGCTGAGCAGTTCAATTGGCAGCAGGATGGGATAGCTGACTACAGGCCTTCCTATCACAGACTTAATCCAGGTGGAGACAGGAAGGTGGAGGTGTCCCCAAGCACCATCCTCCTGTCTGATCAAATGTCTCCCCTTGACCAAATTCACCATGGGAGGCAAACAGTTTCATCCCAAGACATACATCAGGAGACTATGGATGACAAGGGAAGCAGACCTCCTCTACGCCAGCACCACCACAAAAATTACTGAAAAACAGAAAGTTTGATCTAAATGTTCAGCTGTCACCCAGTGGAATCTTTGGAGAAAAATATGGGTGAGTTATTCTGGTTGCTTCTGCTAAGCATTCCTACTAAATAGATCCATTTATATGAAGAGGTGATATTCTCTAACCTTTCACTCAGCCAAGTTCATGAAACCCCTGTATTACATAATTATAAATTAATCTAACACTCCTTCACTCACAACAACTGACAGAGAATCTTTCCTTCTCTGTTTCATCCTACATTTGTTACTCCTCCTTAAAAAGTTCAGTTACTTGTTCCTGCATTTCATTCACTCCAGAAGTGAATCTAAATTTATTTTACGTAATGAGAGGGGCAACATACAATATGCTCAGCATGTGCTGTTAGACTCATAGAGTCATACAGCAGGGAAACAGACCCTTCGGCCCAACCAGTCCATGCCGACCATGTTCCCAAACTAAATTAGTCCCACCTGCCTGCACTTGGCCCATATCCGTCCAAACCTTTCTTATTCATGTACTTATCCAAATGTTTTTTAAAAAATTTAAACCTGCATCTGCCATTTTCTCTGGTGGTTCATTCCACACATGAACCACTCCCTGTATAAAAAGGTTGCATCTGTTCTGGAGGGAAGGTAAGTTAAAACTTATTTGACATATAAGCAGCTGAGGGTTGCATAACACCTGCAATCCAATAGAGCTTTTGAAAACAAAATTAACCTTTTTATTGAAGCCATTTGATATATGTTTAGATACCTTTTTAAAGAAATGTGGCAAGATTTTATACAAAAACCATACATAAAAAATATTTATTTCCAGAAATCCTGATGGTGATGATAAACCTTGGTGCTATTTTCGGGAGAAACGTGATAAATTAAATTGGGATCATTGCGCTATTTCTCCCTGCCCTACAGGTATGTATCAGCTGTTAATTGCCTTTAACAACAGTTAATTTATTCCATTAATGTCATAATCCAGGTAGGTATTAGCCCTGTTTTACTGAATAACTACAAAACAATGTAATTAACTATGGAACTTCCTAACGAATTTCCTAGCGAAGTGTTCGACTAAAAGGACAATGTCAATTGGTTTGAATTAAATTGAAACCTTTCTAATTTTCTGTATCAGATTCAATACTTTGAGGGATGAAGGACGATTTTATCAAATCCCCTTCAATTTTGATCTGGGACACAGCCCATGTAAAAGGTTTTATTTTCCTCTGGCAGCCAAAGATTTTCAGATTCTCAAAGTGCATTTTAAGGGAATGGGCTGTCTACTCAAGTACAAACCAGCAGACAATCTGCCTATACACAAGATGGGGTCAAGTTTGTTGCCTGAAAACTGCATATCCGTGTCTGTTCTGTTAGTAATGGTGTAGCTCATGATAAGTAAACAATATTACCAAACAGTTGGAGCAATAACAACCTGCATTGCTTTAAAAGCAAAATAATTCAGATGCCGGAAATCTGAAATAAAAACAAAAAGTGCTGGAGAAACTTAGGAGGTCTTGCAGCATCCATGGATAGAGAAACAGAGTGAACATTTCAAATCCAGTATGAATCTTCAGAACTTTGGAATACTGGACGCAAAACTTTAACTCTGTTTCTCAATCCACAAAGGCTAGGGGAACGGCAAGTTCTGGAGTACAAGTCTTCAGTACTATTGCCAGAATGTTGTCAAGGCCCATAGCCTTGACAGTATCCAGTGTCTCCAACCATTTCTCCCAATGGAGTGGATCAAATTTGCTGAAGACTGGTATCTGTAATGCTGGGGACCACTGGAGGAGGCTGAGATGAATCATCTGCTCGGCATTCCTGGTTGAATGTTTCAGCCTTATCTTTTGCACCATGTGCTGGCTCTTTCATCATTGAGGATGGATTTGTTTGTGGAACATCTCCTCCAGTGAACTGTTTAATTGTCCACCATCTTTCACGACTGGATCCTGCAGAATTTCAGAGTCTTATGGGAACACTTAGCTCTGTCTATCACTTGCTGCTTTTGCTGTTTGGCACAAAAGTAGCCTGTCTGGCAACTTCACCAGGTTGACACTTCATTTTTAGGTGCTACTCCTGGCATGCCCTGCTGCACTGCTCATTAAATGTGGGTTGATCCCCTGACTTGATGGTATTGGTTGAGTGGGGGAGATGTCGGGCCATGAGGTTACAGGTTGTGCTGGAGTACTATTCTGATGCTGCTGATGGCCCACAGCATCTCATGGATGCCCGGTCTTGAGTTGTTAGATCTGCTCAAAGTCTGTGCCGTTTAGCATAGTGATAGTGCCACACAACATGATGGAGGGTATTCTCAATATAAAGGCGGGACTTCATCTCCATAAGGACTGTGTGGTGGTGACTCTTATTGATACTGTCATGGATGGATACATTTGCTGCCACCAGATTGGTAAGGATAAGGTCAAGTATGTTTTTCCCTCTTGTTGGCTTCTTTACGATTCACTGCAGACCCAGTCTAGCAGCTATGACCTTTAGGATCTGAACAGCTCCATCAGTAGTGCAGCTGCTGAGCCGTTTTTGGTGATGTACATTGAAATCCATCACCCAGAGTACATTTTGTGCCCTTGCCACCATCAGTGCTTCCTCTAAGTGTTGTTCAACGTGGAGGAGGACTGATTCATCATTTGAAGGAAGATGGTACGTGGCAGCCAGCAGGACGTTTCCTTGCCTATGTTTAACCTCAAACTATGAGACTTCATGGGTTCTGGAGTCAATGTTGAGGACTCCCCGGGCAACACCTTCCCGACTGTATTCTACTGGGCTGCCATTTCTGCTGGGTCTACCTGCTGGTGGGACAGGACATATCCAGGGGTGGTAATGGCTGACATTGTCTGTAAGATCTGATTCTGTGAGAATGACTATGACAGGCTGTTGTCTGACTAGTTTGTGAGACACCTGTACCAATTTTGGCACTAACCCCCAAAGTGTTTGTAAGGACAGCTTTCATGGCCAACTATTGTAGAGTTGTTGCCATTGTCACTTACTGTGCTTAGGCCAATGCTGTTAATATGAGAAAATCATTGTTGTACATTGTATCTAGTAAAGTATTGATCTAGGTATGCCATTTCCTCTGAGAATATAAAGATAGGGGCAGATGAATTGAATGTAGGCTGACATCTCACTCCAAAGTGGTCTAAATTGTCTCAACTTAGATCTCTCAGACTAAAGCTGCATCAACATAGTTTGGATTACTTTATTAATCTTGAGACTTATTCCTTGCATTTGGGTAACTTAGCAACTTTCTGATCTTTTCTGAAAATGGGATTAAATAGCACAATTACAAAGAAAAAAACCAAATGGCTAACTAATGCATAGAATGCGTTTTGACTTCGTGCTGTTTCTCCATCATAGCCCATAAGACACCACCCCAACGAGAACCTACAGCCAAATCTGTGACCCGGTCACCTGCCTCTGCTTCCTCTGTTGTGCGCTTTCAGTGTGGAGTACCAGAGGTTGCAGTAAACTTAGGCAAAATCCTTGGTGGAAAAAGGACAGTACCAGGAAAATATCCATGGCAGGTATCTCTGCAGCTGAAAAATCGCATTGGACTTTATAAACCAGGACATGTGTGTGGAGGAACATTGATTAAAACATGTTGGGTTCTCACTGCTGCCCACTGCATTGTCTCACAGTAGGTATTAGCATGTTTATATATTGCTTTGAGTTATCTTCTTATTTTAGAGAATCATTTCTAAAGTGCCCTTCTAGATTTTGAAACTTTTCTATTATGTATTCACTTTCTATTGTAGTTATCTATAAGATCCAGATAAAAACTATTGCTTCTCTAATTTAAGCAAAATAAGGCAGTACTTAAGGAAATGTTCTGAGGAAAGGTCACCGGACCTGAAACATGAAGTCTGATTTTTTCTTCACAGATGCTGCCAGACCTGCTGAGCTTTTCCGACAACTTCTGTTATTGTTCCTGATCTACAGCGTCGACAGTACTTTCGGTTTTTATTATTGGCAGTACTTAAGCCCAGCAAGTGGCTTAACTCCCCACTTGTCTCTGTTGGGAATCATAGCTTCCTAAAATCCAGATAATATTTCTTTGGTCTGAGTTATGGCTATGATATGTGTGTTTATGGTTTTGACAATATTTAACGTATTGGATTCTTTCAAATTCCTGCATCCTTTCCTCCATATCTACATAGTTCTCATCAAAACATTTTAATGAGGAATTCTTAAAGGGAAATTCATAGGCTCCCCAAGCAACTCCCAAAATGTGATGAATAATCCTCATTATATCTTATAATAGGCATTGTAAATGTTAGCTTGACTCAGTAATGAAATGACCTTCTTCAACAATAGCCTCCACCTTTTATTCATGGCTGAGACACCATACTGCTCCTGCTAGTATATAGTAACAGGACCAGGGTTGACGCAGTTGAAAAATAATAGGAAAAGCAAATCCACCAACAGTATTTACATGTATCAACCTTCACAGTTTGGCAATCAACAGCCAGAAATGCCCAAATGCTGAAATTGTTAAAAAATGGGGAAAATTGCAGGATTTTTTTTTTGCCTTTAAACCTTCAATTTATCTCCACCACTTCTCAAACCCTCCAGTGTAGAGTTCAGATGTTGAACATGGTTTGCATGAATAAGAATCTCTTGACACCAGTTTTAAATTTACCTTTTACTCCTCTGAACCTGCGTCTCCTTGTCCTACTCAAAATTTAATTAAATGCCATATTTCAAATTAGTTTATCTCATCAGTGTTTGGGCAATTGGAATGTCTGTCTCACAGCTGGAAGCAAATTAACCTGAAAAAAAAATTCCAGGAATAATTTTCATCTTCATCACTGCAGCAAAAATGGTGGAGCAGAGGGTCGCCCAGACAAAAAAAACAATTAGTGGTTAAAAATTGTATCAGAAAACATACTGTCTAATCTGTAAGGATATGATCACAATGCTGAGTTTTTGTTTTCTCTTCCCCGTCTGATGCCAGCAGAACACCATTTCATAATTCCAACTGTTAGTTCAATGAGTTGAATGTAGCTCCAAATCCTCTGTTTTATCTGCTGTACTCAATTAACCTGGGGTTATAGGAGTGGGATCCATAGCCATGCATTTGGTGGTCTCTAAGCAACAGTGTTATGCTATCTGAATAACATAGTTAGCTTTATGGGACAGGGACATAGGTAACAGGGCTTTGACAGTTCAAACTGGCAAAGACTTCATGAGTAATAGATAATTACAGGGAGTTATGGATGCTTTTATAATGGTATTCCTATAAGAGCTAGTTGGTATCATAGGATTCCATCAAGTGCACCAATATCCCCAAATATAATTTACTACAGGTTGTCAAAAAGAGAAGAATAGTGGTTCTGGGAGGAATGAGAACAGAAGTGTGCAAAATGAGTTGGACATACTGAAGGGTCCTATCTACATAATGGGTGGGGGAGGGGGGTGGGCAAATTCTCAGTGGAGAAAAAAGGAAAGCATTTCAGTAACATTGTTATGGAAGGTGCCATCATCCAATCAGATACAACAGAGACAGAGGAACTGGAAGAACGGAATGCAGTCCTTACAGGATTCAGGAAGTGTAGTTAAGGTTAGATGTGGACGTCCATGGGTTTGCAAGGAATATTAGAAGGGACCCTCTCCCCAGAAATGGAGACAGACAAGTCAAGATAGGAAAGAGAAAATTTTGAGATGGACTAGGTAAAGATGAGAGAAGAATGGAAATTCGAAGAAAAGTTGACTAATCTTTCTAGTTCCAGAGAAGAGCAGGAGATGGCACCGGTGCATTGATGTACTGAAAAGAGGTGTTGGAGAGGGCCTATATAGGACTGGAACAAGGAATGTTCTACATACGCCTCAGAGACCAGAATATAACAAAGCCCATATAAATACCTATGGCGCACCTTTTCATTTGAAGGAATTGAGGCAAATTAAAACATAAATTGTTCAATGAGATAAACAAGCTCTGCTAGGTGAAGGAAGATGGTGGTATTTGGGACTGTTCAGGCCTCCGTCCAAGGAAGAAGTGAAGAGCATCTGACTGTCCTGGTGGGAGATGGAGTTGTAGATGTGTATATCCAAGTTACTGCCTTGCTCAGTCTGGTCGTGTAGAGAGAGGCGTTTTCAAATGCTATATATTGAAACATTGAGCCATTTAACGTTATTGACATAAACAAGCCAAAATAAGAATCAGGCATTCTAATTCATGAGAACACTCATATCTGATAAATCAAACATTTAGGACCTGTAATACCAGTTCATCTATGTTTTGATTGCAATATTCCTTTTACATATTGTCAGTAACTCTAAGAATCAATTGCTAATCCTTTTTAGTTAAGAACATTGTCTATTCTTGAAAATCAATACATAGGGCACAGCCTAGAGATTTCCGCCTACAGCTTGGCAAACAAGACCTTCAAAGAGATGAATGGCATGAACAGAACTTTGACGTTGAAAATATAATTGTCCATGAAAATTATCATGAGAGCTCTGTGGGATTATACAATGATATTGGTAAGCAATCTGAGACTTGTACCTTCAAGTTCCTTCCTCAATTTTGCTGTGGGCTTCAAGATCCCAGCATTGGTTGAAGATCAGGTCCTGAGCATGCTCTGGCCAGCAGTGGCTCACCAATTTTCCCTCAGGTAGCTGCCTAATTGCTGCCTGCAGGCCTGGCCTTCCAATGAAGGAGAGCAGACTGTAGCCTGATGCCACCTGTTAAACCAGAAGGCCAGCAGTTCTGAAGCCTGAAGGGCGCAGATGAAGAGACGTCACTGCTGAGGAATGTAGGTGACTTCGAGCCCCCCCACAGGTAAGTTTAAAAAAAAGGAAAACTTCAAGGAGTCAGAGGCAAAGAGGCTCGTTGCTGCTGTGTAGCTTGGCTGACCTGTCTGCCACACCTCTCTGTGCTGTGGGTCCTCTTCACCAATAGTAAAAAGGTCAAGTTGCCATAGTCCTACCAGACCATAAGGCAGCTCACTCATTAGAGAGAGAGAGAGAGAGAGATGGCTGGTAGGGATTTAACCTCAGGGCCAAAATGAGTGGAGCGATTGAGAAAGAGTCCTCCATGGTAATGTCAGTTTGTGTGGGAATTGAACCCACACTGTTGGCAACACTTTGCATTGCAAAACCAGCCACTTGAGCTAACCAAATCTCCCTCTTAACCAATAGCAGTTACAGGGCCTTTAAATATGCAAATCACCAGCTGCTCTATATTCTGTCCAACCACAGCGAAACTGCCCCGGCAACAGAATTGCATTGGCAGATCCTCTTGCCGTGGCTTCCTAGCATTTTCCTGCCACCATTGCCTCTTCCCTCACTCCAAAACCTAACCTGCCACTTTGTTTTCGCTTCTCGGTGTCTGAGCAAATTCTAATGTAAAGCAACGTTTGCATTCCAGCTTTGGTGAAGATCAAACAAGTCAACAATCACTGTGCCAAAGAAACAAAGTATGTAAAAACTGCCTGCTTACCAGAGGCTGATTTCCAGCCCGGTACTGAATGTCACATTTCAGGATGGGGTCAGACGGAGACAGGTGCTTCCATTCATTTGGATAATTTTATCATAACTTTTTTTCTTAAAACTGAGACAATGTTTAGATTATATGTAACAAAATCATCACGTTATTTTCTGTTTATTAATAATTGTACAGAAGCATCATCCAATCAGTTATTGCATACAAACGTGAGGCTGATATCTGACCAGCGATGCAGGGACACTCGCTCCTACGGAAATGCTCTCAATGACAGCATGTTTTGTGCAGGAAACCTGGATGGCAGCGTGGATTCATGTCAGGTTTGCAATAAAGATTTTGTGGGATTGTGGAATTTATTTCCTCTATTTGCTGATTTTTGCCTTGAGTCAATCTTCAGGAGGGCAGATGAATGCATGGCTGGAGCAACAACATACAAAGGGCAGGTTTTTGGGACATTTTGGGGCTATTTGGAGAGCAGGAAGTCCCAAGCAGATTGCATCTCAACCATGCTGAGACAAATATCCTCAAGGGGAGGTTTAGTTAGTGCTGTGAGATAATAGAAAATGAACTAAGTTGACAGAAGGATGAAATAGTAGTGAGAAGAAATAAGGGGCACAAAGGATCGGGAAAGACAAGTAGCACTAGAGTTCTGAAAGAGACAGGCTAGGAAGGCAAGCGCTAGGCAGTGTAAGTTGGGTTTGAAATACATGCAGCACAGTTAATGAGGCTGATAAGCTGCAGGAACATCAGAGACCTGGCTCAAAGGAAAGGAGAATGGGAACTTTATGTACCTGATCTTTATTTGGGCAGGATTTCTAAGTGAGGGATCAAAGATCTGGCCCTCTTTACTGGAGGGACCATGTTTTTTGTAAGTGGGATTCTCACCTGGAATTGAAGAGTTAGCTTAACTCCCTGTTGGATAAAATATACTTCAGAGGAGGTCATAGTTCAACAGCAGGTAAGTTTCTTGCAACTAGAGATGGAGAGTGGGTGAGGTGATGATATAATGGTGCAACATGGCTTAGAAGGTCAGGGGCTGATCACAGGGGTCCAGAAAGAGATCAAGGTCAGAGATGATGGACTCAAGGGGGTTGTCAGATCACGTTGTGGATCGGTTGATGATCAAGTGGGGATCTTGGTTGGCAGGCATAGAATCAGTAGTGGGTTATCCCAACACAGGGGTGCCAGATCATGAGATACTATGAATATGTCCAATTACAGGTAGAGAAGTAGGTTAGCTGCGTGGAATGTGGCAGAAAGTGGTCCTCATCTTCCTGGCCTACAAGCAGTGGTGCAAAGGCACTTATCCAAGCTATATGAGTCTTTACTTCCCATAAACTATTGGGTGTCCTGAGGTCCGAGACATTAGACCAGACAGAGATGTAACTGGAAATCTATTCAAATATAAGGCATAAAACCTCAGCTACTTTCTCCGTGGGAGCAGATTATTTGCCCATGACATTCTGCCCATACGATTCACTCCCCACTACCCTATTCCCAAACCTCAAATCCCATTAAAACTGGAAGTGGTCTGGTTCAGGGCAAGTTGAGTTCAGGTTTAAGACTGAAAAAGTGGGGGTAGAGGAGGATTCCTAATACGTGTTGAAAAGAACTCTATTGATCAATATGTTTTCTGCCCAACAAAGAAGGAAGCAATATATCATAGAACCCCTACAGTGTGGAAACAGGCCCTTTGGCTCAACAAGTCCACACTGACCCTTGGAGCATCCCACCCAGACCCATCCCCCTATTACCCACCTCATCTACACATCCCTGAATGCCACAGGCAATTTAGCACAGCCAACCTACCTAGCCTGCATATCTTTGGACTGTAGAAGGAAACCAGAGTACCCAGAGGAAACCCACACAGACACAGGCAGAATGTGCAAACTCCACACGGACAGTCACCCAAGGGTGGAATTGAACCCGGGTCCCTGGTGCTGTGAGGCAGCAGTGCTAACCGCTGAGCCTCCGTATATCTAGATCTGGAGAAATAAATGGGCCAAGTAGAACATGAGTCAATAGAGGAGCATTCAGGAAATAGTAATCATTATATTAGAGTAATTAGGTAAAAGAACAAGGTAAAATAATTATAAATAAAAGCACTGCACTGGAGGTGGGCAGTTTGCAGTGAGTTAAAAAGGATCTGGCTTATGTGAAATGGACTCAAACACTACAAAATAGTATTTGACCAATGACAGATCTTCAAGGAGATAATTGAAATACAGAGGTAGGTATATTACAATGATGGGAAAAAGAAAGAACATCTAAAGCTAGAGCTCCCTGGGTGATTAAAGATATAGAAACAAATTGCAAAAGGAAAAGAAGGTTTATAACAAATGTAATGTTGATTATACTGTATGAAAGGGAATACTGAAAGTACCCAGGAGATCTGATAAGGGAATAAGAAAAGAATGTAGAGGTGATGAGACTAGCTTAACAATAATATAAAAGGGAAACCAAAAATATTTTATGATCATATGAATTGTAAAAAGGTAGTCAAAGAAAGGTTGACATTAGAAAGATCTTCAGGAACAAGAGGGTACGGCAGAGGTACTAAATGAATATTTTGCATCCATCTCCAGTAGCAAAAAGGATCTGTCTTCGGAGCAGTAAAGGAGATATAGTACAGGTATTGGATAGGATAAAAATAGATAAAAGGCCAGTGGGCCAAATGGCCTCTTTTTGTGCTTTATCACCTTATGCTTCTACGCCAACAAATGTAATTGAGTGCAAGGACACAATAAAGAAATGGCTCTTTTAAAAAACTCCTTTTCACAGTCAAATGTTTGAATGAATGTCACTGTCATAGCTTGTAAAATTACTTATCTTTGTTTCGTGTTCAGGGTGATTCTGGAGGACCACTGACATGTGTGAAAGATGGACGTTACCAGATCTATGGAATAGTGAGCTGGGGCGATCGCTGTGGGGTGAAAAATAAACCTGGTGTTTATGTCCGTGTCACCAAGTTCCTTAAATGGATTAAATCCCGAGCCACTTAAGTGCAGCAATTGAACATGTGTGATTGTTGTGGAATATAAAAAGATGCTTGACATTACTATTTAACACATCCATTATTTCTAGAATACCACATAAAGGATTTTCAAATATGTTATTACCTCAGTTTTAGTAACAATGGGATCATACATAACATCTTAATAACAATTCTGATGAATGATTTTCATTAATTTTGTATTCCTGACACATCATTCTTCCATAAACTGAGAAATATAACTGCCTGTGTCGCAATCTTAGTGGTTGCATTTATAAAGTGCCTTTGGTTTTGAACTTGCGTAGTAAAAATTCTAACTCTCAAAGCTGAAAGCCCATTCTGTTGCTTCTTGTTTTAGTTAACAAAGCAGAACTACAGACTTCCTTAGAGGGAAATAATACCTTTATAATCTGTGTATGCAATAATGTACAATTTGACTGTATATAGTTGATTAAATGCAATTCTATTTGTTGGACCTCAAATGAATACTTTTTAAAATTATTTCAAAGCTGAATCTTGGCAGCATTGACTAATAAACATAGTTATCATTGATGCCAACCAATAAGCATCTGGAAAATTAACTTTGTCATTCAAAATTTAGTTTTAAGTTTAGTTAACTTAAAAGTACATGTTAATTAAAATTCCCTCCACATTCACACAAGCTGTGGTGCACACAAACAATAGGTTTGTTAAGTTACAAATTTTTAAGAGGTTTAAACAGTTTAAATTACTGATTGTAGGGGATGCTTTCCTTTATGTTGTGACCATGTAATGGATATTAATTTACCCTCCTGTTACATAACATTTCCTGATTTGCATTCCATTGAGGTTAGTGACAGAATTGGTTGATTTGGCGATAGGCAAAGAGGTCAAAATCAAAGTGCCAGGCATGACCTTCGTGTCATAGTTGGCCAGTATTTACAGTTGTCCTTTCAAAGAATACCTGAGGTAGTTTGAAAGACATTGTCTGTTATTCATAGAACTTGTCTCATTTTCTGTTGCTATGAATCATCAGAAAGTTAAGTGGATTCTATAAGGGGCTGGTAATCCATTCCAGCAGGTTATTTCTGAGGTGGTATCAGTGACAATCAGCCCCTCTGAGTGTTTGAGATCTATGTTTACTTGTGCAGGAACCCTATCAATGGGATGTTTATGAAGTGGAGATACAGAAATGGAAGAAAGATTTAAATGTCTGGACTGATCTATGCCTCAGCATCAAGTGAAAGCTGTGTAAGAAGTAGAATGTCAAAAGTCGAACAGCACAAGTGCAACACCATTTTACACTTTTCATTTTTATTATAATTAGGTAAAGAAAAAAGCTCTAATTGTTTAAAACAAGTAAACCCAATAGTTCAACCAGTATAAGTTGCATTATGTCCCAAAAAAACATAAGTTTATCCTTTTCCCACCTATTTTGGCAACACAATTTCTGTCAACACATTGGAAGTGACACCAAGCAAGACGTTACAGCTGTACAAAACTTTAGTTAGGCCACATTTGGAATATTGCATGCAGTTCTGTTTGCCACATGACCAGAGGACATGGATGCCTTGGAGAGGGTGTATAAAAGGCTAACCAGGTTGCGTGGTCTGGAGAGTTTGAGTTATGAGGAGACGTTAGATAAACTCGGATTGTTTTCACTGGAAACACGGACGCTGAGGGAGACGTGATAGACGTCTACAAAATTATGAGAGACATAGATAGGGTGGATAGCCAGAGGTTTTTTCCCAGAGTGGAAAGGTCAACCATAAGAGGGCACATGTTCAAGGTGAGAGGGGGAAAGTTTAGTGGAGAAGTGCAGGGAAACTTTTCTCACAGAGTGAGTGGTGGGTGCCAGGAACACACAGCCAGTGGAGATGGTGGAAGCTGGCATGTTAGCAACGTTTAAGGCGTATCTTGATAGGCACATGAAAGGGAGGTGAACAGAGGGATAGAAACTGTGCATGCGCAATAAGTAACAGGTCTAAGTAAGGATTAGAGTCGGCACAGGCTTGGTAGGCTGAAGGGCTTGTTCCTGTGCTGTACTGAATTTTTTTCTTTCAATCTGAGCAAAGTATTTTTACAGAAATATGTGCAATGCTGTAATTGTGAATTGTGTGTAGTTGTTGTCTCAATATTGTTAGAAGAACACAAGTAAGCAATTCAGTGCCTCAAATTTGCACCACCATTCAATATGATCGTGGCTGATCACATCTCTGCCCATTCCCCATAACTCTTCATCCTTTTACTACAGAATAATCTGTGTTTCTCCTCCTTAAAATTACTTAATGTCCTGTTATCCACTGCATTGTGGGGTAATGAATTTCACAGATTCACAACCCTTCGAGATAAGTTATTTCTCCACATTTTTGATTTAAATCTGCTACCCCTTTTCCTAAAACTGTGATCTCTCATTCTAGATTGCCCCACAAGAGGAAATATCTGTTCTACATCTACTTATCAAACCCTTTTAGCATTTGTATACCTCAATTATGTCTCCTTTCATTCTTTTAAACTACAGAGAGTATAGACCTAAGTTGTTCAATCTCACTTCATAAGACAAACCCTTCACCTCCACAATCAATCCCACAAATCTCTTCTGAACTGCCTTCAATGCAACTACAATCCTCCTTAAGTAAGGGGATTAAAACTGTATGCAATACTCCAGGGACACTATCACTAATGCCTTGTACAGCTGCAGCAACACTTGCCTACTTTTATACTTCATTCCTTTAGTAATAAATGCCAAAATTTAATTTGCCTTCTGTATTACCTGCTGTGCCTGCATACTAGTTTTCTGCAATTCATGTAGGAAGACATCCAAATCCCTCTTCACTGAAGCACTTTAAGTCTTTCTCCATTTAGATCATAAGTTGCTTCCTGTTCATCCAACAAAAATGGATAATCTCCCACTTATCTATGTTAAACTCCATCTATCAAATCTTGGGCCCATTCATCTAATCTATCCATATTCATTAGTAAACTTCTTATTTCTTTATTGAAATTTACTTTCCCATCTAACTTAGTGTCATCTGAAAATCTGGCCATACCACTTTTTATTCCTGCGAACAAATCATTAATATAGATTGTAAATAGTTGGGGCCTGAGGACTGAACCCTATGGCACCCCACTAGTTACATCTTGCCACCCAAAAAAGACCCATTTATCTCAATCTCTGCTTTCTGTTGGTTAACCAATCCTCTATCTGAGTGAATAAATTACCCTTAAAACAATGTGATCTTACCTTGTGCGTTAACCTTTTGTACATCACCTTGCCCAATGCCTTCTGACAGTCCAACTACATTACATCTACATCTATAGGAAACATTATCCACTTTGCTTTTTACATTTTCAACAAACTCTAGCAAATTAGTCAAACATGATTTACCTTTCATAAAACCATGCCAACACTGATGGATTGTGCATTGATTTTTCAAATGTCCTGTTATTACTTCATTGATAATTGATTCTAACAATTTCTCAATGTCAGATGTGAAACTAACTGATCTTTAGTTTCCTACTTTCTGCCTCCCCCCTTTTGAAGAAAGCATTATATTACCTTTTTACAAATCCACTGGAATATTTCCCACATCCAGGGAATTTTGGAGTTTTATAACCAGTGGATCAGTTATCTCTGCTGCCACTTCCCTTAAGATGGTAGGCTGTATACTATCAAAACTTGTCTGCCTTCTATCCCAATAGTCTGTTCAGCAATGTTCCCCCAGTGCTGATTATTGTTCCAAGTCCCTTCCTTTCAATAACTTCTTCCTCCCTTTCTATTACAGGAATGTTATTAAATAGTAATAGCCATAGTTGGTTATCCCATTTAATTCTGAAATGGCACCTCAAGACACATCAGTTTATTTCTGATTTACCTCCTGTGAAACTTTGAAGGAGAAAACATTGAACCAAATCCAATAAATCGAGGTGTGATACTTTGGAAGAGAATGCAGACTAATAGCTGTAACAACTCAGAACTTAGTTTGCATCACAGAGATCAAAGTAATTTTTAAATTTGCACAAAACACACAAATCATTCACTGCTGTTGGAATAGTCTGGAACTGTACTAAATATTAGATTTTAGCATTTAGTTTCAAGAAGTTGTCTGCCTTAGTGTTACAGTGTTAGCTATATGCCTTGCTTCGACAAAAAAAACCTAGTTCTGCTATTATAAGTTATGTTGAATTCTAAAACTGTGCGACTGTAAATCTGAAGTTTAGATTTTCTTGTTATGGTTTTCTGAAATTGTGAAGAAGAGTCACACCGTGTTTGAAATAATAACTCTGTTTCTCTCTTCAGATACTGCCAGACTGCTGAGTTTCTTCAGCATTTTCTGTGTTTTTGATTCGCCTTTTTGAAGATTAGGTTGTTGACTGGGCTCGAAAATGTTGGTACTGCTGCTATATATGAAACATGCCATGTCAAGTTGCTAATTGGCTCAACAAGAGCTAAGGAGTGACCAGTAGTCAATAATCTCCGCTGTTGTGCAATGGTAATGCTTATTAGGTTGTGATTTGCTTGAGCATTTCCTAAAATGCTTTAATTTCTGCGCAAGCACAGACTACATGACAGAATAAATGTGAATTAATTTTGTAAAAACTGAAAAAGTTCTGAGGAAGGATCACAGGACCCGAAATGTTAACCCTAATTTTTTCGTCACAGATGCTATCAGACCTGCTAAGCTTTTCCAGCAACTTCTGTTTTTGTTCCTGAATTAATTTTGTTTTAGGTTGTGTAAGGATAGTTATATTTATTTGAATACATTTGCCAATGCGTTTATCTCATATGACTTGAATTACTCTGGATTAGTAACACTTGATCTAGTATAATGTTCAGCTTTGGGAAACTTAATTTCAGGATGATATCAAGGCCAGGGGGATAATACTGCAAATGATATCTTAGAAGGAAACTTTAGTCAAGAGGAGAAACAGTGAGGTTTTTTCAAAAAAAATCAAGCAAGGGATACTTAACTTCAAAACTGTGAAAAGTTTTAAGAAACTAAATCAAGAAAAACAACATCCTTTGGTGATTTCATAAATACTGGACATCAATTTAAAATAGTCATCATAAGATTGATATCAGAGAT